ATGTATGTATGTATGTATGTATGTATGTATTTATGTATGTATGTCTGTCTGTCACGCTACTCGGTTTCACCGGAGAAAACACCTTTAGAGGTCTGGAGAAGTTTGGGATGGGTGGGCCTGAGACAGGATTAACACAGCGCATACGAGCTCTGTGGAGCTCCGCCCACTGGGGGTGGGGCAAGTGCCGGAATGGACGGTACCAAGAGCTAAATACCTTATTTTGGCCTCGAGAAAGTCCAGACACCGGGAAAAAATGAGCAAAGGTAAGGATTGGGCCATTAAACCGGACGGAGGAGACCCACGTGCTGTGGGCGGAGCTTTCTCGAAATGGGTGTTACTTTTCAGACGCATTCATAACTCAATTCAATTAAGCCGCAGAAGCGAGAAAAAAATAAAAAGGGTGAGCAGGGCCTCATGCGTGGCGGGCATGAGTAAGCTTAGCGAAGCCCCGCCCACGATGGACGGGGCGTGCGTTGAGACGAAAGCCACTTTCTAAAAATCAATGCAACTTTGCTTGGAAACGTTCTAGAGTGCGGGAAAAAGTGGTCGGAGGTAATGGAACAAATTTGGCCAAATCCTCGAAGTGAGCGGGGTTGACACCAAAGTGGGCGGAGCTTAGAACAAAAATTTATAACTCTGCTCAGAAACGTTCTAGAATGCGGTAAAAAAGTGGTCGGAGGTAATGGAAGAAATGTGGCCAAACCCTCGAAGTGGGCGGGGTTGACACCAAAGTGGGCGGAGCTTAGAACAAAAATTTATAACTCTACTCAGAAACGTTCTAGAATGCGGTAAAAAAGTAGTTGGAGGTAATGGAACAAATGTGGCCAAACCCTCGAAGTGGGCGGGGTTGACACAAAAGTGGGCGGAGCTTAGAACAAAAATTTATAACTCTGCTCAGAAACGTTCTAGAATGCGGTAAAAAAGTGGTCGGAGGTAATGGAACAAATGTGGCCAAACCCTCGAAGTGGGCGGGGTTGACACCAAAGTGGGCGGAGCTTAGAACAAAAATTTATAACTCTGCTCAGAAACGTTCTAGAATGCGGTAAAAAAGTAGTTGGAGGTAATGGAACAAATGTGGTCAGATCCCACAGGTGGGCGGGGTTGGCACCAAACTGGGCGGAGCTTAGATCAGAAATTTATAACTCTTCTCAGAAACGTTCTAGAGTACGGGAAAAAGTGGTCGGAGGTAATGGAACAAATGTAGCTCAATCCTCGAAGTAGACGGGGTTGACACCAAAGTGGGCGGAGCTTAAAAGTAGAATTTATAACTCTGCTCAGAAACGTTCTAGAATGCGGGAAAAAAGTGATCGGAGGTAATGGTACAAATGTGATCAGATCCCACAGGTGGGGTTGGCACCAAAGTGGGTGGAGCTTCGATCAAAAATTCATAACTCCATTCAGAAACGTTCTAGGATGCGGCAAAAAGGTGTCAAGGTGTAAAAGAACAAACGTGGTCAAATCCCCTACGTGGTCGGGGCTTAGAACAAAAATTTGTAACTCTATTTAGAATCGTTGTGGGATGCGGGAAAAAAGTGGTAAGAGGTAATAAAACACATGTGTTCAGATCCCACGAGTGGGCGGGATTGGCACCAAAGCGGGCTTACGTAAAATTTATCAAGTCTTTTCAGATGCGTTTTAGAA